GAGGTCTTCTATGGGATACAAAGATGAACATAGTCATTCTCAAGAGAGATTCACCATAAAGGAGAATTAGGAGGCTATTGAGAATGCCAAGGGTGGCTTCCAGAAACCCCTCATGGTCTATACCTTAGCAGAGACTTGGCCTCGACTTTGCTTCATTCCCAGGAGATCAATGTATGACTTTCTTCACAGGTCAAAAAACTGGATGTGAACAATTTGAGCTATTAGTGCAGACAGAGGGATACCAGATCCTAGTATAAATGTCTTTGCTCATTATACCCAATATTGTCATATTCTTTGCAGTTCTCTCTTTAAATATTGCTTCCTTAAACTTCTAGACCAACTTTATTGAAAAGGAGGATAGTATATTTCCACACCTTCTTAAGGTTTCTGACATTGTTTTTATTTCCTGAACTATTTCCCTTGAGTCACCATAAAATAGAGAAAATTTAGTGAAATTTGATTAATATGACATTTGCTAGTGTCTGGCAGGGAAGCAATGATTTTGCATTTTATTACCCACAGCAGAAATGTGTATATCAGAAATAAGGAGAAGGGATCTCACATGATTTTAGCAAAACAAACAGACAGAATGATATATCTAGCAGAGATGGGAATTAAGTGAATATATTTGCATGCATACGAGAGGTTTACCTACATATTTCTGGAATATCCTTTTGGGTCAGTTGCCTCTTGCAAAAGATAAATGTGGGGCAGAACTTTAAGGGAATAAAATGTTTTTTATAAAGCTCAATAGCTGAGAAATAAGGATGTTCAAATGGAAAATGCTATGAGCTACAATCTGGGTGACACAGCTGCTATGATCTGAGGCAAGTAGTTACTTTTCAGTTTGTGCTTCAATACGAAAAGAAAAGTAGATAAATGCTGCATATCCTTTTAAACTCAAAAATAGAAATGTTTCTATATGTATATTCTTAGCACAGAAGATGCCAAATGTTAATGATTTCAATGGAATTATAGACAAATCTTTAAGTGAATATATTTCCTATTAAATAATTCAGCTATTTATTCTATTTTATTATAAATATATATATATATAAGTATAGAGTATTCTCATGTTAATTACTTCATAAATATTAATATTAAAATAAAATTAGTAATTTAACCATTAAGCATTTTAAAGTTTATTTGCTAAGAAAATCTTTAATTGTTTCACATCATAAAAAGTAATGAGTTGTGCACAAAGAAAAATGGGTTGCTATTTTAGTCCTTTAAATTTCATTTTTGATCTTTTGAAGGAAGTGAGATCATCTTTCTGTTTTTTAAGTGGCGGTGCCTTCTAATAAATACATGACAGAAAAAAAGAAAAATGAATATTTTATAGGATTATTCCAACAAAATTGTAAGGGATTCCATTAAATGGACAAAATAAAGAGTACACATTTCATTTATCATCTCAGTAGTGTGATGTATTGTATGAAGGTTTTCTAATTAGAATAAGAGAAGTATTATATAAAGCATGAACAACATATATGTTTTAATATATAATGAAAATAAGTTAAAAGAAAATGACATCAGCATGAATTAAGGAGAATGTTTTAGAATTGAATTAATGATGATGACATTGATCATAATAAGTTATATCTTTCATCTACTCCCTTTTAATACACTTTTCACCTAAATATAATTAAAAGAAGGAGAGAGAGAGAAAAGAACCACACCGTGATCACAGAGTTTGTCCTCCTAGGCCTTTCTGATGACCCTGACCTTCAGATTGTGATTTTCCTCTTTTTATCTATCACGTATGTATTAAGTGTCGCTGGAAGCCTGACCACCGCCCTGACCTGGGTGGACTCCCACCTCCAGGCGCCCATGTGTTTCTTCCTCCAAACTTCTCTTCCTTAGAAATCTCCTTTACTACCGTGTGCATCCCTAGGTTTCTGGGGGCGATCATCACCAGGGACAAGACCATTTCTTACAACAGTTGTGCAGCCCAACTATTTTTCTCTATTTTCATGGGAGTGACTGAATTTTACATTCTAACCGCCGTGTCCTATGACCGCCATGTTGCCATCTGCAAGCCCCTGCATTACACAACCATCATGAGCGGGAAACTCTGCAGCCTGCTTGTGGTCTGCGCATAGCTCAGTGGGTTTCTGACCATTTTCCCACCCCTTATGCTTCTCCCCCAGCTGGATTACTGTGCTCCCAATGTCACTGATCACTTTTTGTGTGACTATTGCCCCCTTTTACAATTGTCTTGTTCAGATACATGGTTTCTAGAAGTAATGGGTTTTTACTTTGCTTTGGTTAGTTTGCTGTTCACTTTGGCCTTAGTGATTTTGTCTTATATGTACATTGTCAGGACTGTTTTGAGAATCCCATCTGTCAGTCAGAGAAAAAAGGCCTTTTCCACTTGTTCCTCTCACATGATTGTCATCTCCAACTCCTATGGAAGCTGTGTATTCATGTATGCTAATCCCTCAGCCAAAGAAAAGGCATCATTGACAAAAGAAGTAGCTATTCTCAATATCTCTGTGGCCTCTATGCTAAATCCTTTCATCTACTCCTTGAGAAACGAGCAAGTAAATCAAGCCTTCAAAGACATGGTCTATAAAGCAATATTTTCTGCTAATAAATGATTTTTTGAGGGGTCAAAAACACTTTAAAGAGCAATTAGGTTAAATTCTGAAATTCCTAAATATCTGTATAACTCTCCTTGCTGTTTATATCCTCTTACCAGGCCACATGACTGCTAATATATACTTTCTCAGTCTATTTCTTCCATTTCTCCAGTCATTGTTTATTGACATTTAAAGTATAGTAAAAGTTTTTTATCCTACAGCATATTCTAGAATAGAATTGTATTTCTTTAAGACATACTTTATAGTGTGAAATTAAAACTAGTTTTAATTCTGTAAATATCAGTTCCTAAAATGATCATATGATATCACATTGTACTTTAAATGCAAAGTTTCAAAATTAGTGTGTAATATCTGATGTATTTTCAAGAAGAACACTTATAATTTCTTAACATTAAAGAATCTACCTGTTATATATTATAATACAGTAAATTCATTCCAAAAATATCATATGTAGTAGTGCATTGCACTTTAAATGTAGTTCTTTATACTTTGTGAAATTAAATGCATATTTTCAAGATAAATATTTATCAAGATATTATGTATTAATTATAGAACTTCTTTGTTCTGTGTCATTTTAAAAAATGCTGATATTTAAAAATTCAAAATAAATCAAGTAAAACTAAAACACTTCCACTTTCTTAAACTCATTGATTGCACTTATGACAGTTATTCTAAATTTTTGTCAGATATTTACTTACCTCCATTTTTTTAGGGCTTATGTTTTGAGATTTATTTTGTCTGTTTGATTGTGTCACTTTTCTGTTTTTTTTTTTTTTAATGTTCCTTTTAACTCTGTGTTGCTCTCTACACTTTTGACAAAACAACCACCTTTACAGCGGAATTCATCATTCAGTCCACCTAGAGATTCTGAGGGGTCTTTTAAATCTTTTCTGAGGCTGTGTCTTTTCAGATTTGTGTATGAAGATTCCTAACTAGAAGAATTTATCTTTTTTTATTTTATTTTTTTTTTTGCATGGAGCCCATAGTCTCTTGCTCCCTCTACTTCTGTTTGCTGTAACTCAGCTTCTTGAAGTAACAGCATATCACCCAGCCCTTTTTTGACTTCAGTAGCCCTTAGCATTTTTAGTATGTCAGGTCCCATAGAGGCCCCAAGAAAAACTACACAGACACTAGTGCTTTCCCAGTCCCTGAAAAGTCCAGATGCCGGATACATGCTCCACACTATTCTTTTTCCCTTTGGGGGAGAGTCACTGAGATGCACTGGCCTCAGTCTGCTACAGGGGGGTCTTCTGGACATAAAATTTTCCAAAGAATCCTCTTATATTGTCATAAAACATGTATTAATTAAGTTATATCCTTCTAAAATATTTGAATCACAATTTATAGTCTAGTATATGATCAGAGTTTTGTAAACATTTCTCATACACCTATAGAAAGCCAGGGAGTATTGTCCCAAAGGAACATGTTTATCTGTGAAAGGTTGTTTCACAACCACAGTTTGTGTTATGAATGTTTACTTGTGATGAAGCCTTAAAGGATTCCATTTGTCACTGATTGTTCAAGTAACATTGGAATTTCTTGGTCATTTGTCCCATACAGAAGGGAATAATACTAAATTTCATATGGAAAAGCAAACATGATAATTAGGAAATCTTGAGAAACAAGAGTGATAGGAGAGAAATAACCATACAAATATTAAAATATAACATCAGGCTTCTATAACAAAAACATGTTCTCGGGTAAGAAAATAGAGATAAATGGAGAAAAAAGTGACTGACACATTTCTGAGTATACTTAATTGAATAAACTTTTGAAATATTCTTATTGTTCACATAATCCAAAGGTAAAATTAAGCAGGGAAAACAATAAAATTAAACACACGCCACTGAGCATAATGTTAAAACACATTGCTAACCATGTAGGGAGAAGAGCAAAAAACTGACAAAAGTAATTTTTCAATTTTATTTTTCAAATTCAAAGATAATTTTTTCAATTATTTTGACAACTGACCATCAGTAGGATGGGAACTGCAGAGAAAAATTGAACTTTATTTAGTATATTAGTTTTTATAATTGTGTAACAATTCAGAAACTATTTTATGTGTGTTTTAAACTGAATAACTGATAGGCTAACAGATTTACATTGGAGCCTGGTTTCTCATGGCAGAGAAAGATCCAATGTTGTATAAGAGAAGTTGAAAAATTCTGTTATTGGATTAGAATAAAATTGTCAGTGTGATGCTATTATTTTTTATGCATTTCCTTTCTCCATTTTGTGAAAGTTCCAAGGAGCAATGATAGCTCAATAGCAAAACCACACAAAGCATCTAGATGCATGGTTCTAAGCATCATTTCTCACTAAAAATAGTTTCTGAGAACTGGAGAAATGGTTGATTATAGGACTAAATATCTGAAAGATATGATGCGCTAGAGTATCTTATTGTTCCAGAAAGTGTAGCAACATGTCATAAAGGACACACTTAGAAGGATTACTCTGTACCAAGACATTTGAGCACTGAAATAAAAAATTATATAAATAGATAATAACACATTAAGTAGAAAACACTTCAAAATAAATTAATAAAGAGTGTTGTTCTTTATGGTAAAATCGCAACTAATAAATGCAAAAGAACTGATAGATTTAGAAAAATAAAGATTGTGTTAATATTAATGATACTCTATTATATGTTTCCACCATCTAGATTAGAGAACAAATAATACTAAATTATTATAATAGATAAGAGTTTGTTAAGGAATATGATATTTATACAATCTCAGAATATTTCTGCATTGCACAAAATATCACTGCCTAGTCATTGTTAATTACAGAGGGGAAAGTACCTTTACAGTGGAGAACTTCATAGTAGAGAAACTAGCTAACCAGTCAGAAATACTAACATCATTGATAATATAAAGCTGACATCAAATATCTCTTAACATGATGTATTGAGATGTTTCAGTCCTACTGACTATTTGCCTATCCATGTACAACTGATAACAGTCTTAGTTATGGTGGCTTTATCTGGTAGAATAATTATCCTGGTTTCCTCATCTTCTTTATAGGATTGCCTCAGCAGTATTGTCTTTCAGTTTTTATTGAATTTGTGGGCCATCAAGAAAGGTACACATAAAATACATGTGTAACACGCCTAATTATGAAAAAAAAAATGTGCACACATGTAACCAACAGGAACAGTGAAAATTGATTCTTATCAGATGCCCAGAAACTCTAATCATACTGCTTGTAGTCATTTGGAATATTTTCTTTGAAAGCCTTATTACTTGGGATTGATACTGGTTTTTAACTAAACACTTCTGTGGTCTGAATGTTTTCAATTCTTTGATTTTTTTTTTTAACTGAAGGATAATTGCTTTACAATGTTGTGGTGGTTTCTGTCATACAGCAATGTGAATCAGCAATATATATATATATATATATCTCCTTCCTTTGAGCCTCTTTTCCCTGCTCTATTCCACCCCTTTAGGTTGTCACAGAATGCCAGGCTGGGCTCCCTGTGTTATATAGCCACTTCCCGCTAGTTATCTATTTTACACACACACACACACACACACATATATATACGCTACTTTCTCAATTTCTCCTAGCCTCTACTTTCCTTGCTGTGTCCACAATTACATTATCTATGTCTTCATCTCCATTTCTTCTCTGTAAATAGATTAATCAGTACTGTTTTTCTGGATTTCATATGTATGCATTAATATAAAATATTTGGTTTTCTCTGACTTGCTTCACTCTGTATTATAGACTCTAGATTCATCCACCTCACAACAACTGAATGAAACTTGTTCCTTTTTATGAGTGTTTTGTTTGTTATGAAATGGTTTATAACCCAGCATACGGTTGTACATGTGTGCTCAATTGTGGCTGACTCTGTGTGACCCTGTGGACCAGAGCCTGACAGGCTCCTCTGTCCATGTGCTTAGTCACTTCAGTCATGTCCTACTCTTTTTGATTCCATGGACTGTAGCACACCACAGGGATTCTCCAGGAAAGAATACTGGAGTGTGTTGCCATGCTCTCCTCCAGGGCCCCTGTCCATGGGGTTGTCCAAACAAGAATTCTAGGGATGGGTTGCCACTTTCTCCTCCAGGAGATCTTCCAGACCCAGGGATCAAATAGGAGGCTCCTGTGCCTCCTGCATTGGCAGGCAGATTCTTTTACCATTAAGCCACTTGGAAAGCCCAGCATATGGTTATTTTGGTAAATATTACCTGTGTATTAAAAACAATGTAGGGAAGAGTGAGATCAACAAGATGGCAGGATAGGAGGCTCCAAATCTCTTATCCCAACAGAATCTCCAATTGAATAAACACCCATAGGAGAAAATACCTTCTGGAGAGCTCCAGAATCCAGGACAGAATATATAGCCCTTTGGCACACCATGGAAATGAGTAAAGAAACATTAACAATGGTAGGAAGAAGAGTTTCACTGTTTTTTGAAACTTGTTTTTAACTCCCTTCAGAAAATACCAAGGGGAATGATTGATAGATTGTAAAGAGAGTATGGTCAACTTTGGAAGAAACTGCCAAACTACCTTCCAAAGTGGCTGTTCCATTTTACATCCCCATCAATAATGAATGAGGTTTCCTGTTGGTCCACGTTCCCATCAGCATTTGATGCTGTTAATATTCCAGATTGGGCCATTCCAGTAGATATGCAGTAGGTCTCATTGTTTCATTTTACATTTCCCTGATGACATGATATGAAGAACTTTTCATTTGCTTATTTGTTATCTGTGTATCTTCTTTGGGGTAAGGTCTGTCAAGGTCTAGTATCTATTTGTTAGTTGGGTTATTTGTTTTCTTATTGTTTAGTTTTAATAATTCTTTGCATATTTTGGATAGCAGTTGTTTATCAGATGTTTCTTTCACAAATGTTTCTCTAAGTCTATGGTTTGCCTTTTACTTTTCTTAGCATTGTCTTTCAAACAACCTGAGTTTTAAATTTTAATAAAGTTCACCTTTTATTAATCAATTATTTATTTCATGGATTATTCCTTTGTTGCGTCTATGTCACCAATATTTCCAAAGTCATATAAATTTATCCTGTGTGAGCGGCTTAGTTTCAGTTTCAATTCAATTGCTCTGTCGTGTCTGACTCTTTGCTACCCTATGGACTGCAGTACCCTGGGCTTCCCTGTCCATCACCAACTCCTAGAGCTTGTTCAAATTCATGTCCATTGAGTCAGTGATGCCATCCAGCCATCTTATCCTCTATCATCCCCTTCTCCTCCTGCCTTCAATCTCTTTCAGCATCAGGGTCTTTTCTAATTATTCANATGATGTTTCTCCTGGAAATCTTGATTCCAGTTTGTGTGAGTGGCTTAACTTACATTTAATTTCTTATTTTTCTAGTGTCCTGAGGCACAACTTAGATTTTTAATTTTGGATCTTTCTTCTTTTCTAATATCTTTTCAATGCCATTAATTTCTCTTTAAACATTGTTTTTTTGTATCATACAAATGTTGATGTGGTCTGTTTATTTACTATCTCAAAATATTTTAAAATTTATTCCGACATTTCTTCTCTGCTCCATATGTTATTAGAAGCATGTCATTTAATTTCCATTAAATGGAGATTTGGGGGCTTTCTAGTTATCTTTTTGTAATTTATTTGTAGTTTAATTCAGTTATGGCCTTAGGGTAGACATATTATTTCTAATTTTTGAGTTTGTTTAGTGTGTTTGATGGTCCAAAATGTCTTGACAGTTATTCTGTGTGAAGCTTGAGAAGAACGTAGATTTTCCAGTTACTGGATGAAGTACCAGAATTCTCGCCTGGAGAATCCCATGGATGGAGGAGCCTGGTGGGCTACAGTCCACAGGGTTTCAAAGAGTACTTTATAGGTGTTAGTTTTAACCAGTTTGTTGATGACCTTGCTGAGTTCCTTTATGTCCTTACTGATGTTCTACCTGCTGGATGTGTTTCTTTCTGATGGATGGATATTGATGTCCATCAATATGGATGGATGTGCATCATTCTATTAATTTATGCATGACATAGTTTATCTGTTGTTAGGAATTAGAAATAGTCATTAGGAATTTTTAGGTCTTCTTGGAGAATTGCCCCTTTTCAAAGTCATTTGATGGAGACCTTTTATTACATGAGAAAAAAAAAGTGTAAGATTTTTACATGAGATACATTCTCAGTATTTCAGCAAACAGGAAGTGAAAAAGCCTATTCTTCAGAGAAACCCTGACTTAGAAAATTCAGGAAATCTTTTCCAAAATTTTGCATGTTTAGATATTTTCACATAGAAATATGCACAAATTTCCATTTACTTCTGGCCTATTTCTCATGCTCTTCTAGCAGTTTGGACATTGTCTTCCAAGATTTCTGCTTCAATAGTGGTACAAATGTCTATAACATATTTATAATCCTTGGAGCATTTTCTTCTTGGCCCTTGTTGACACATTTGATTCACTGGAGTATTTCCCACGAGCCTTGCCCATGTGTGATGGATTAAACAATGTGTGGCTCATGCAGGTTAAAATCCACATAAAAGTCCTGTCCAGAAAGGACCACAGTAACTCCATATCGTGACTCTCTTCACTCTTTTTGCTCCCATGGCTACAGTGGAAGATGTTTCAAAAATACTAGCTATAGAAATAACTCTGAATGTGTTGAGATAACTCGGAATGTGTTGAGAGACAATGACTATTAGAAGTACTGGATTGCTTAACCTAAAACTGAAAAGGCTGCCAGTAAATTTTTAATAATTGAAACTGGCTCATATGATGCATTTGTATGACAAGAAGAGGATAGTTTGCAAAGTTAAAAGCATATAAAGCATTCTTTTTCTTAGTGTTGATTTAGTCATTCTCGGCTTAACCTATCATCCAGTTGAGTGGAATATTTGGGGGTTGCGTTTCTTCCAATGTATGTCCAGGATTATGAAAAATGAACATGTTTACATTCCCTGTTTGTTTTACTAATTTAGTTCTTTATTAGTTTTCAGAAAACTAATTTCTGAGTTTGGGCCTCCTCATTGAATATAGGTTTGATAAGTAGCACATGCTTCAGTTTCAGCAAAAAAGAGCTTAGAGTTCCAATTTGTGCATTAACTAGCAGTATTATCTTCATTATGTTACTTAAAGTTTCATGGTCAGCTTCTTCAAAAGTAACATAATTGTAATGAGTCAATGAGATATATGCATAAATCTTAGCATTGTCTCTCAAATAAGTTTCCTTGAAATGAATATTATTGTTTCCTAGCAGTACCCTCTTCCTCAAATATGATAATCGATTTTACTTTTAGGAAGTAATAAAGAATGATGTTTTCTATGTGGAGTACATGCTTTAAAAGCTTTGTATAGTTGAATTTTACTTATAACATAATTATCCCTCACAATTATCCCCTGAAATATTATCCCCATCTTCCCAGTGGAGAAACAAACAAACAAACCTAAAACTCAGAGAGAGCTGTATTTTTCATGTATTTCTCTTGGAATGCAAACCCCAAATAATCTCATATGTTATATATAACTTCTTTTATTTTTTAAGTTAATATTATCTTCAAATATAGATACTAGTTAACAAACTGAGTCAATCAGGGAAGAATTAGAGCTTCTATCTCTATAAAAACCTATAGATTTTGAAAGTAATTTAGGTGATTACAATTTTCCTTCATTATTCCTATTTGTACTGATTGGTGCTTTGATCTGATTGACTTGATCTGACTCCCTTTTTCCATTAAGAAAAAATAAGGTCATTTTTTTTTTTCTAGAGGACTCAGAGAAACAGAATTCTGAGCTAATTGTAGGACTATTTGAAGGCAGTCTTAAAGCAATGATCTTAAAATAATCTAAATCAGTTCTTCTTATGGGTGTTTCATTTTTACTGAAGTCATGATGAAGTTCCTACATGATACTAAATGTCAACAAGCACAGTCAAGAGTGAAGTGGATTATTCCAGAAAAAGTTCAGGTTGTTTTAAGCTCAAAATTTACCCAAGATATTAAATTACCAACAATATTCTCTTCTCTTCTATGACAAAATAACCTAGCATATAAAGCTACCACAGAAAATGATAGTCAAGAAAGAGGGCAAGATAGAGAATTGGAACACTGTTTGATAATGCTGAGGGTGCAAATTGCCTTGAGGATATATGTTTATAGAAATTGATTTTCACGTTCAGTGAGCTACAAGACTGATTTGACAATGAGATATCCAAGACATTAAAATTCATTTGAAAAAACAGCAAAAGTATTGAAAGGAATATGAAGCTTGTTATCCTAAATTCCATGGGTCCGGGGGAAAACTCTCTTTACTGAGAGAACTTTTACCTTCCTTTTAAAATGAAGGCACGTTATCATTACTGTTATATAGGAAGACAAAAATAAGGGTGTTTCCTTGCTACTTCTTGCATTACTCCAAAGTACTAGCAAAATAGACTTTCTATTAAGGAATATTAATGTAGATAAAAGGAAAAACCTAAAAGTATAACACGGAGTAGAAAGCTATACACACACACACACACACACGTAAAGTGGCAGACAGAGAGAGAGAAGGAAGTGGGGATAGAGAGAACAATAGCATCATTTAGATGGGAGACATTTTGAAGAAAAAAGTGTTCTTTGGAAGATGATGTTTTATGTTTTATTTTAGATTTTTTATACAATTTGGTCTTCTTATCCCATGACACAGATCCAGTCTTTAAACATGCACTCTGCCTCCTCTGGAGGCTGGACTCTCTACAGTGGTCCTCAAACATTTTGGCATTAAGGGCAGTTTACGTGGAAGAAAATTATTCCATTGACCGAGGGTAAGAGTGTGGTTTCAGGATGATTCAAGTGCATAACATTTATTGTGTATTTCATCTCTATTATTATTACATCAACTCTACCTTGGGTCATGAGACATTAGCGCTCAGAGATTGGGGACCACCGCTTTAATATCTGAGGAGGTCATGACAATGAATCCATTAGATGTGGCTTCAGATAAGGAATTGGAGCTTGGGAAGGTAAATGTGAGTCAGAGTGAAATCTTAGAAATCATTTACACTGTTGAAGCTTTAAGTCCGATGACTTTCACTTGAGAGACAGACTCAGCTGAGTGATCTTTTTCCTGGCATTTTTGAATTTTCGATATATTGAAAAGAAAATACAATACAAAATTAGGTGAATGATTAAGAAATAATATAATTTTACCAGATTTGAAGGAAAGAAAAGATTCTTAATGGGAAAGAAATCTTTTAGGGAAGGATTTTTAAAAAGTCAACAGGCATGGTGGGAATGCAAACTAGTACAGCCGCTATGGAAAACAGTGTGGAGATTTCTTAAAAAACTGGAAATAGAACTGCCATAACCTCAGCGGTGAGGTACTCCAGAATCGCAGCACTATACACTGCAGCAGTGGCACCGACCCTTCCGTGGCTCGTGGTACGAGTCTTCAAATGTCTATGGATGCGGCCCACAGGAAACTGTAGCCCAGCTCTCTGTGAGCGAGACACTGCCTTGGCCTTGGCCTTTCCACTGTCCTTTCCAGCTTTGCCTCCAGCCATGGTCTCGGCCGCTCGTGCCCTCGGTCCCGCTGAGCCGCCGCCGCCGCTAGTGCAGCACCGACCCTAAATTAGTTCTTCTTATGGGTGTTTTGTTTTTACTGAAGTCATGATGAAGTTCCTACATGATACTAAATGTCAACAAGCACAGTCAAGAGTGAAGTAGATTATTCCAGAAAAAGTTCAGGTTGTTTTAAGCTCAAAATTTACCCAAGATATTAAATTACCAACAATATTCTCTTCTCTTCTGTGACAAAATAACCTAGCATATAAAGCTACCACAGAAAATGATAGTCAAGAAAGAGGGCAAGATAGAGAATTGGAACACTGTTTGACAATGCTGAGGGTGCAAATTGCCTTGAGGATATATGTTTATAGAAACTGATTTTCACGTTCAGTGAGCTACAAGACTGATTTGACAATGAGATATCCAAGACATTAAAATTCATTTTAAAAAACAGCAAAAGTATTGGAAGGAATATGAAGCTTGTTATCCTAAATTCCATGGGTCCGGGGGAAAACTCTCTTTACTGAGAGAACTTTTACCTTCCTTTTAAAATGAAGGCACGTTATCATTACTGTTATATAGGAAGACAAAAATAAGGGTGTTTCCTTGCTACTTCTTGCATTACTCCAAAGTACTAGCAAAATAGACTTTCTATTAAGGAATATTAATGTAGATAAAAGGAAAAACCTAAAAGTATAACACGGAGTAGAAAGCTACACACACACACACACACACACACACACACACACACACGTAAAGTGGCAGACAGAGAGAGAGAAGGAAGTGGAGATAGAGAGAACAATAGCATCATTTAGATGGGAGACATTTTGAAGAAAAAAGTGTTCTTTGGAAGATGACGTTTTATGTTTTATTTTAGATTTTTTTATACAATTTGGTCTTCTTAGCCCATGAGACAGATCCAGTCTTTAAACATGCACTCTGCCTCCTCTGGAGGCTGGACTCTCTACAGTGGTCCTCAAACATTTTGGCATTAAGGGCAGTTTACGTGGAAGAAAATTATTCCATTGACCGAGGGTAAGGGTGTGGTTTCAGGATGATTCAAGTGCATAACATTTATTGTGTATTTCATCTCTATTATTATTACATCAACTCTACCTTGGGTCATCAGACATTAGCGCTCAGAGATTGGGGACCACTGCTTTAATATCTGAGGAGGTCATGACAATGAATCCATTAGACGTGGCTTCAGATAAGGAATTGGAGCTTGGGAAGGTAAATGTGAATCAGAGTGAAATCTTAGAAATCATTTACATCGTTGAAGATTTAAGTCCGATGACTTTCATTTGAGAGACAGACTCAGCTGAGTGATCTTTTTCCTGGCATTTTTGAATTTTCGATATATTAAAAAGAAAATACAATACAAAATTAGGTGAATGATTAAGAAATAATATAATTTTACCAGATTTGAAGGAAAGACAAGATTCTCAATGGGAAAGAAATCTTTTAGGGAAGGATTTTTAAAAAGTCAACAGGCATGGTGGGAATGCAAACTAGTACAGCCGCTATGGAAAACAGTGTGGAGATTTCTTAAAAAACT